ATAATTAAACTCATCGAGGCATTAGGAATTTGCGCATATGTCATTCGCGGACGGATGATTCTGCCGATATCGCGGCCTGTACGGGCGTATATATACGTTTGCATGTGTGCGCATGGGTGTAATTGTGTATGCGAGTGCACGCGTTAATTACCCGTAATAACCCCCTCCGTAATCCCCCCGTCTGCATTTAATTTCGACTCTAGAGGTATCCCGAGGAGTGGATTCCCGGGTGGATAATTCGACGAAAGACATTTTCTCGTTTTGCCGGGTGAACGTTCGTCACGTCGCGGGGAAGAGCGGGGCCTGACGACCGGATAATTTATAATTGATAATCGATTAATTGATCGATCAAGCGCCGCGTCGCGTGACGTTTTGGGCGGGCTCGCGCAACGCGTATCTGCTGCTGAATCTTTTGTATTATGACAATGTTACACGTATCCACAGATGCTTTATTATTAATGTTTTCTTTTTCTTTTTTTGTTACGTTTGTTGATGAGGGCAATTTGGATTTATGTACGCGGGCATTGCGATCGATTAATGTGCATTTGGGCGAACGATTATTTCATTATTTTGCTTACACAATGCTGTAGAAATTTATAGCTTTAATCGTGTCGCGTAGAATTTTGCAAAACGCTCGAAAAATAATTGCCGATAACGAATCCGATAATCAATCGCGTTTTCCCGATGCATCACTTGACATTTTATTGTTTTGCTTTGATGAAAGCGACGGCGGTTCTGTGTAATCAGATGGATTGAAATATTCAACATGAACAGTGCCAAATCGATGCTAACGTTTATCTATTTAAAAGCCGAAATGATTGTAAAGATCTTGAGGAAAGCTACTTATTTTTGACAAATTTTTTGTTCAACTTTTTGTCTTACTATGAAGCAGAAGCGGAAGCTACTAAAGAAATTCAATGTGTGCCGGCGAAATAAAGTTACGACAATTTATCGTATTTTATGGAATAAATGATTATTATACATTGTTTAATGTCTAAATAACAATTTCGATTATATATCTGTGATCGAGATGGACATGTTCATGACAAATTTCATCGCGTTTCGCTCGGTATTCTCTACGAATGTATACATAGCACATCGCAAGGATTCTTGTCAAATGAAACATTTCCTCGCAAGCAAATCAAATATCAAAGGAAGTTCAAACGAGAAAATTTTAATATAAAATGATGTATCTATAATCTTTGCCAGTCAAAACCAAGATAATTTTTTTCAACACATATCGTATTTCTCGTTTTTTGTTTTTATATAATTTAAAATGATTCACAAAAAGAAAAGAAAAACAAACAGGAGGTTGTTATCGCAATTCGAGTTCCTGCAAAAAAAGCAAATTCCATGAAGAGTGACCATATAATCGATCGAATAGGAAACCGCCAGCATAAATTGAAAATTATTGCATTCTCGTAGAATGTTTATTGTCTGGATTACTTTGTTAAGTATTTGTATGATAAGTTGCCTTGTAAAAATGTACCGATTTTACTAAGAAATTAAATGTGTTACTGAAAGAAAACCATGCACGACTTCTCTTCAACTATTCTTATCAACCTCCGGTCTTTCCATCGAGGATGGTAATGACGGAGCATAGGAATAGCCGATTAAGTAGTATAATTGTAAGTATCGATGAATTATAATTTTCACCGTACTTTCTTTGGATAAGACTGACATCGTTTGTATAATGCTTGATAATCCCGTTAGACGTATTGAGATTTATATACGTAAATTAATGTATTTAGGGAAATATATGTTTAGATTGCAGGAAACACTTATATCATACTGTAAATAGTGAATTTACGGAATCGCATTTTCTAGTTCAGCATAAGCGTTAGTGTTAAGATTTTAGCTGATATAGAATTATCTTGAAAGAATATATATATATATATATATATATATATATATATAATAAACTAGCGACATATAAT